CCTCGTTACAATCCAAACGCTCGGTGTGCTTACCATTCTGAGAGTCCAGGCCACGATACAAACGACTGTTGGGCTCTGAAGAATAAGATACATGATCTGATAAAAGCAAAGGAGATTGATTTTGATGCTCCTGAGATGCCTAATGTCATAACTGCTCCCATTCCCAAGCACAACCATGGTGTTAATGTCATTGATACTGATCTATTTATTACTTATGTTGATGAAGTTTCTACTCCTCTCATGACCGTCAAGAAGAATTTGTTGCTAGCCAGTTTATTTCCGGGTTGTGGTGAAGGTTGCCACAGGTGTTTATCTCTGCCTTCTGGTTGTTATTTGCTGAAAGCAGGTGTTCAATGCCTGATGGATAATAAAGAGATTTTGTTCGAAAAGACTCTGTTTCCAACTATTCTACATGAAGATGTTGCTATTATAACCATTTTCGCCAATCCTTCCAAGGTCTCCTCCAAAAGACCTGTTAGGATTACATCTTCTCCAAGAATTGCTCCATTAATAATCACTTTTCCTGGCCCTGTACCATACTCCTCGGACAAATTTGTTCCTTGGAATTATGGTGTTGACGTTTACTACCATGGCGTCAAGCCGGATTTATTAACCATTAAAGACGAAAAAATTAAAGAGGTTGATCCCGATATCAGTAACATTGTCGGGACCATCAAAGTTACTCGAAGTGGAAGGGTCTTCTCTCCCGAGATCTCCCTGAAGACTGTTGCTAAGCCTGTTATTATTCCATCTATTGTTCCGGCTAGTACTTATGCTACTACTCCCATCCTTACTCCAGTTGTTACCCCTACTGATGAGTCATCTGGGACTCGGGGAAAAGAAGCTGTATGTGAGCCTGCCCGGACGGAGGCACCTAGAGAAGTTATTTTGGAATCCTCTAAACAAGAAATGGAGGAGATTTTGAAGATAATCAGGAAGAGCGACTATAATATGGTCGAACAGTTGGGGCAGACCCCTTCGAAGATATCATTGTTGGCTCTGCTATTGTGTTCCGAGGCATATGCAAAGGCTTTGGTTACATTTCTCAAGACTGCGCATGTGTCGCAAGAAACCTCTGCTGACCAATTCAAGGAATGTGTGGCCAGTTTGACTACCGATAATGGATTGGGTTTTCCTGATGCTGATTTGACACCCAAGGGGAGAAAGCATAATGATGCTCTGCATGTCTCGATTGAACGCAGGGGCACTACTATGGACCATGTGCTAGTGGACACTTCATCGTCACTGGATGTTCTGCCCAAGAAGGATCTTGATAGGCTATATTATGAAGGTTTGACCTTAAAGCCCAGTAACATTGTGGTGATGGATTTTGATGGTTCAAAAAGAATGGTGCACGGGGAGGTGGACATCCCTGTCAAAGTGGGTTCCCAGACCTTTGAATCCACCTTCTACGTGATGGATATCAGGCCATCTTATTCTTGTTTGTTGGGTCGTCCTTGGATCCATGAAGCTGGAGCTGTTACTTCTACGCTGCACCAAATACTGAAATATCCAGTGACGGGAAATATTTCCACCGTGCATGGTGAAGAGGAGTACATGGTAAGCCACCTTAACTCTTTCAGGTATGTGGAAATGGATGGTGAGTTCGTAGAGACCCCTTGTCAAAATTTCGAAGAGGTTCCCCAGACTATGGCATCAATCGAGACTATCACTAGTGTGCCAAAGATCACCAGACCTCCTTTGAAGATGGCTTCTCTCAAGGACACCAGAGCAGTAGTTGAAGAAGGTGGGTGTACCATTTGGGGACAGCTCCCTGATTTTCCTTACAAAACTAGAAAATTTGGTTTGGGCTTTACTTCAGGAGCTCAAAGGGTTGTTCGACATGCTCGGGCTGGAGGACCTCCCCTATGCATTAGCAATCGTGGGGTCAATGCTATAGAATACAATGATGAGGATTCTGATATTGGCAGCTGGATTTACCCTACTACCAACGGTGGACCCAGTAACTGGGCGGCCAAAGATTTTGTGCCTATTACTTTTGTTCAGTAGTAATTGTCTTACTTGTTTTCCGGATTTGTAATAAACAATATAAACTCTATGGCCTTGTGTCTTACCCGAGGCACAATGGTTTATTTGTGAGGGTTATTATATGTCATTATCATATGTCATCAATAAAATGTTGGACGTTCTTGCATACAAATTTTGCGCTCTCTGTTTTTCTTTTTTTCTTTTCACTTTATCAATACAGCTATGCGCTTACACACACTCACATATAAAACTGCAGATCCATATCCACTCTGGATCCCATTGATAACAGTTTTGCTATTGCCAGTTATAACTTCGAAAATCCAATCAACCAAGCCGAGGACGAAGGTGAGGAAGATTGTGAGGTACCTGGAGAACTTGCTAGACTGTTACAGTAGAAAGAGAGGGCTATACAGCCTCATGAAGATCCAGTTGAGACAATAAACTTGGGCACAGAGGTAGACATAAAAGAAGTCAAGATTGGCGCAAATCTGGAGCTTGGTGTCAAACAGCAGTTCATACAAATGTTGCATGACTATGTCGAGATCTTCGCTTGGTCATATGAAGACATGCCTGGTTTAGACACTCATATTATGGTACATCATCTGCCGACTAAAGAAGATTGTCCCACGGTTAAATAGAAAGTCCGTCATATGCGCCCTGAAATGTCAAAGAAGATCAAAGCAGAGGTTATGCAGCAGTTCAACGCTGGGTTCTTAGTTGTCACCTCTTATCCCTAATGGGTGGCCAGCGTAGTGTTGGTGCCTAAAAAAGATCGTAAGGTACGGATGTGTGTGGACTACAGAGACCTGAACAGGGCAAGCCCCAAGGATGACTTCCCGCTTCCCCACATTAATGTTCTGGTTGACAACACCGCACAACACAAAATCTTTTCCTTCATGGATGGTTTCTCTGGCTACAACCAGATCAAGATGGCACCCAAAGACATGGAGAAGACAATCTTTGTCACACAGTGGGGCACTTTCTGTTACAAGGTGATGCCTTTCGGGTTGAAGAATGTTGAGGCAACTTATCAGCGAGGCATGGTAGCTTTATTTCACAATATGATTAACCATGAGATAAAGGTTTATATTGATGACATGATAGCCAGGTCTTAAACTGAGGAAGAACACCTTGATCATCTACAAAAGTTGTTTGACAGGTGAACCAACCGGCTGAAAATCATCAAACAATGAAGTCGCCATCGAACGTCTTTTATCCCACATGTAGGGAAAGGTAAACATCGAGAAAACCTGAGAAGGGAGAAGTCACGGTCTTGCAATCGAGAGATCGGGTAAGGGAGTCTGTTACGCGAGGGGAAGGTATTAGCACCCCACACGTCTGTAGTACTCTACGGTATCCATTCTTGTTATATATCTTATGGGTGTGTTTAATCTATGCTTACTGTTTACTATACTACTAAAGGGTGAATGCATGCAAAATAAATGAGAAAAGAATGTAGGGAAAATAAAATTGTGCTTGCTTGGGCCCTACCCCAATGCCTACGTATCCGTTTTTAGGAATCAGAGCTACCGTAGTTCGGCTCTTTGTTTTGTTTGTTTGTGTTTTTTATGGACAATGTTAATTCCGCCTTTTGCCGCAGCTCGACCTTTGGAGACTTATGCATTGGCAAAGAAGTAAATTAATCATGTCCTTACCTGAAAAGGGTTTTTAGAGAAAAGGTGCTCGATCGCACGAAGTGATTTGAATTGGTTTGTATTTTTGTTGCAGATGATGACTAGTTATCCTCAAGAGAGAGATATTAGCCGCTTTTCTACTTAGTCGCGAAAGGAGTCTTTGAGAATTAAACCGCACCTAGGCTTGAGATGAAGAACAATAAGATCGAGAAGAGACTCGCTTATTATTTCCCATACTAAGCAAAGGCATGATTCTCATCAGTAGTTTTAAAGTTTTTTGAAGTTTGAAAGAAAAAAGAAGTTTTAGTTTTAGTGCAAATGCAAAAGGGGAAGAAAAGTCACAGGGAGACTAGCCTATTTCTAAACCTAATTTTATCATGCGTTGTTAGACCTAAAGTTAGAATTTCAAAGGAATTCTACCTGATGTTTGCGTGCTTGGATTGCAGTAAAGCCTTACTTCTCATGATTTCTAGAAAGCGATAACGAAATGCAATAAAGTGAAAAGAAGTACAAGGGTAGTAGCGGAGGCTACCAAAGCGAGCAAGTCATCAAGAGAAGACGAATGCACTGAAAAAGCAGGGAGTACGCATCGAGCAAGCTTCACCAAGAAACAAACAGGGTCAGAAACAATATCCAACTAAGATAAAGGCAAACGCGTGTCGCGAATGCGGCGCATAATCAGAAGTTCCTGCATAAAGTATCATAAAATATCACATGCATCGAAACAACATATAATATGATATGATTTCTTAGGACGATGAGAAATCAGGTGTGTCGCATCGAAAGCGAGCATAAGCCACATGCTTTGATCACATAACAACTTATTATGTTACATGATCGAAAGAAAAAAGAATGTACCTTACACAATGAACAAATGCGTCAACATTAACGACACACGATGATATGAAGATATGAATAAAATCTAAAAGGAAAAAAGTATTTTTATTAGGTTTTTTATGTGAGGAAAAATTTCGTTGAAATTAAAGGATTAATTCTAATAATTAACTAAGGAGGTCTAATAAATTTTATTGATTTTATATTTTTTTTCATGTGGAGAATATTCAAATAAATGGAAACAAATAATTTAATTGAAAGAAAAAACATAGAGAAACCCAGGGGTGCAAGCTGAATTCAGTGATGTATTGTAGAAGATATGCGCTAGGCCCAGTCAGTAGAGCCCAATGTTGTTTTTGCTGTTCATCTTTTGTTTCCAAAGAAAAATACATCAATGGGCTCCGAGAGTGGTGTCTCGGTCCATACCCCAACCCAACATCCATCAGCATTTCAATCATTTCAACATGTTATTTGTTATTACACAGAAACAAATAATGAAAACAAAAAGAAAAATAGAAAAAAGGATTAGGGTTAAGCAGCATTATGACTTCCTCTTCTCCTTTCCAGCATCGTTCGGCACTCAACCTTCTTTCCTCTCACACTTCCTCCACCGTGAGCGTCTCGTCCACCACTATTCACGTTAGTTCAACCTTCCTCCGTCTCAATCGGATAACTCTGTCCTACAAAGAGAATAACACTACACCTCCTCTACTACCATTGATTACCACCGTAAACCTCAATGCCACAAACGGGTCTCTTCGAGCGTTCACTTTGAATCAATATTATGTCGGTACAATGGCTTCAATTAAAGCTCCAGTAAGAATAGTAGCTTATGGATTTCACTCTCCAATGACGGAAACGAGAGTTTGAGGGAGAATAAACACCAATACGATGATAACTATCGAAAACTAGTAAAAAAAGAGTACCAATCCAGAGGTTCTAGAGTTTACCGATCAGAATCTGTCTGACGCGGCTTCGACGACGGTGATGATGAGAGAAATATCCGGTATATACCAGTTCTTGCCTCAATTAAATCTCTCTGATAAATTCTTCTTCCTCTGCTCTTCTTCTATTTTCTTTTTCGCGATTCCAATTCTGTGAATTGTTGTTGTCGTGATTCTTGTGTGTATCTCTGTTGTTACTTTCATGATGTTGCCGTAATGTTGAGAATCAGATTATTGAAGCTTTGAGAGCTGATGAATGAAGCACGATTATGCAGTGAGAGTGAAGTTCCGATGTTGCTGCGGTGATAGTGATTATGATTGGAGAATCATTCAAGAGGTTGAAGTTGCAGGTTTATGATGATTTAAGCAAGGTACAGGATGAAGCATAGAAGATGATGATGTTGAAGATTCAGTTACAGTCTGGAGCAGGGAGAGGAGATGAAGATTTTTGTGATTTTCTATTATGAATGAACCTTTTTTAATTACGGATGAATGAAGGTTTATATATGCGGTTTCGTATGGAGAAAGTCAGTTACAGGAAAAGTTAATCATGGCCCTTGATTCTTGAATTTCTGTTAGAGATGAATGGTGATGATTTTTGTTAGTTATAGTTAGTTGGAAATTAGTTATAGACTGTTTAAAGGTTGGTTGAGTTCAGTTAGATGTCTAGTTTGGATTTGTTATTTATTATTGAGCTGGAAAATTCTGTTAATGGTTCTGTTAGTTGTTTAGAAAGTTGTTTATTAGTGAAAGTCTGTCGTAAGTTAGTTGGTTGAGAGTTAAGTGTTTTTTTTTGTTAGGCTTGGTTACAGTTAGGAGTTAAATTCTGTTAGAAGCAGTTAGGGAATCAGTTGGTTGTTATGACAGTTGGTTAGAGGTTTTAGATGGTTAGAAACTGTTAGGATATTGTTAAAAATCAATTTGGAAATTAGTTATGCCCTACTGTTTTTTCTTCCATTTTGTTCATATAGAGCTTTCTCAAGTTTCACAATGTCTTTAGTTATAGCTTTTGTCTTCATCAGCTAAATCAGTCAATATCTCTGGATATATTCATATGCTTTGCAACTCAAGCAACAGCCTGTCATCCAGAGACATCAGCTGGTACTCACAATCAGGAGAAGGAAAGCTAGGATTACTTAATTCAGGCTGAAGCTGATCCAAATCATTTGAACATATTTCACGGGTGTGAGTAATATCAGAAAGGGAAAATTCTTCATCTCCCTGCCAAACTCCCATGCTTTGTAATGAACTGGGTGTTTTTCTAGATTGGTTTTAAGTGTAATTATTGAATCGATTTCGGTGTAGATTGGTTTTATGTAACACATGTTTTCGTGCTGGTTTATGCAGGTAGGCAGGAGGCACAATAAGGTAACATATTTGTGATGCAAAAGTGTACTATTTTGGTCTCTTTTCTTGATTGCATAGATTGTTTTGGACAGAATTTCCTTGATTGTAGGTTTGGAATTTGATGGTGCGAGGACGAAAGGCCAAGTCTAATAGAGTTTGGTTGGCTTGAAGGATGGCTTTGTGTATTTGTATAGGATTTTGAATTTTGAAGTATGATGGGATTAGATGGTGTAATGTAAAGGCTGAAACTTTGTAATAGGGATACTTTCTTTGTAATATTCGTAATAGAATGTAATAAATTTTGAATGGTCTTTGTAATGGAAGCTTCTTGCAATGTGTGTTCTTATCAAAATCAAACTTTGAACCAATTTCTATTTATTTGTATTCTCAATATCTTCCTTTTGTGTAAATGGAATCAATGGTATTAAAGTATCCTTTGTGTTTTGATGACTTCGAGCATTCGAATGACCCACACCTCCTACCACTTTGATCCGCCCATTATTACATAAGCAAACTCTAGAATTTTAGCTTGAGATATTGAATGGAGGTAACATGTCGCATAAGAAAACCAAATGATCGCATGGAATACTATGCCTTAATATACCCACAAACTTTACTTGATGAAATCCAAGTGTAGTTTTCTTACGAAACCATCTCTATATGCCTTATGACCCAAGTAATGAACACCAACATTAACTCGAGAAAAATAGATTGGTTGGGATCCTATCTCTATGTATGAGATCTTTTCAATGAAGCTTTTGAAGCAAACCCTAATTGTCATGATCGTCAAGGAAACAACTTGAATTTCCCTTGAATGTAGACGAGAGCTTCAAAAGCAAGGATAAACCCTAATTACCAAGCCCTTGATCCTGATGCCAATTTTATTGATTAATGAAACATGATATGTTAGATGATTTAATGGAAGTTATGTACATGAGAAAAGTGCGAGACATAAGCCAGATAAAAGTGAGAGGGTAGGACAAATTTGGGGTATTACAACAAGTTGAAGACATACAAGTTGAGGTTAAATTAGAATAATTGCACCTTCGGGGTAAGGTCTGGTAAACTTCTAGGGTTCATCGTCAATGACAAAGGTATTCAGGTAGACCTTGCAAAGGTGAAGGGCATACAAGAGATGTCGGTTCCCCGTACTGAGAAGGAATTTAGAGGTTTCTTGGGACGCCTAAATTATATCGCCAGGTTCATTTCACATATGACTGCTACTTGTGAGCCAATCTTCAAGCTCCTGAAGAAAGATAAATTAGTAAATTGGAATGATGAATGCTAGATTGCTTTTGAAAGAATCAAGGAATACCTTCAAGAACCACCAACTCTGATGTCTCTGATTGAAGGAAGACCTTTGATAATGTACTTAACAGTGTTAGACAATTCAATGGGGTGTTTGATGGGGCAGCATGACGAGTCTGGTCGAAAAGAGCATGCAATATACTACCTTAGAAAAAAGTTTACCGACTGTGAGACAAGATACTCACTGCTCGAGAAAACTTGTTGCGCTTTGGCATGGGCTGCTCGCCGACTAAGATAGTATATGTTGACCCACACAACTTTGCTGATATCTAAGATGGATCTGATCAAGTACATCTTCAAGAAGCCCTCTCTCTCCGAAAGAATAGCAAGATGGCAGATGATCTTAACCGAATACGACATCTAATATACAACCCAGAAAGCAATCAAGGGAAGTGTGTTAGATGATCATTTGGCTCATCAGGCCGTGGATGACTACCAGTCCATGAATTTTGAGTTCTCGGGCGAGAATATTATGCTGGTGACTGACTATGAAGAACCTGGACCAGATGAAGGACCTGAAGAAGGATCCCGATGGGCTATGGTTTTTGACGGAGCCTCAAACGCACTCGGTAATGGCATTGTTGCTGTAATTATATCTCCTGAAGGCTGCCATACTCCTTTCACTGCCCGACTATGCTTCAATTGTACCAACAACATGGCGGAGTATGAAGCATGCATCATGGGTCTCAATGCTGCTATCGACCTGAGGATCAAATTCTTGAGCATTTTCGGGGATTCAGCCTTGGTGATAAGTCAGATCAAAGGAGAGTGGGACACGAAGCACCCGAATCTCATCCCTTACAAAGAGCACGTGCTGACATTGCTTCCACACTTTGAGGAGGTAGCCTTTGAACTTTTTCCACGAGAAGAGAATCAGTTAGAGGGCGCGCTAGCTACCATGTCTTCTATGTTCAAGGTCATGTGGGATAACGAGGCCCCTCAGATCACTATTGAAAGGTTGGATGAACCGGCATATTGCTACGAGATCGACACTGAAGGAGTAGCGGAGAAACCTTGGTTCTATGAAATAAAGAGATATCTCGAGGCTCAAGAGTATCTCGAGGGGGAATCTGTCAACGACAAAACGTTTCTGAGAAGGTTCGCCGTAAAATTCTTCCCCGGTAATGGAATCCTCTACAAGCGCAACCATGAATCTACTCTACTTCGATGTGTAGCCAAGAGCGAAGCGGAGAGGATTATGATAGATCTACACGAAGGTACCTTCGGAACCTATTCAAGTGGACATACCATGGCTAAAAAGAACCTACGAGTAGGATATTATTGGTCCACTATGGAAGCAGACTGTTACAAGCACTCCCGAACTTGTCACAAATGCCAGATCTATGCTGATAAGGTGCATGTGCCTCTGGTTCCTTTGAATGTCTTGATGGCTCCTTGTCCCTTTGCAATGTGGGTCATTGACATGATCGGAGAGATTAGACCTACCGCTTCCAATGGGCATCGCTTCATCCTGGTGGCCATTGATTACTTTACGAAGTGGGTTGAAGCTACCTCTTTTGCTAATGTTACCAAGAACATCGTGGCGCAATTTATCAAGCATAACCTGATTTGTCGGTATGGTGTGCTAGAGAGAATCATCACTGACAATGGTATGAATATCAACAATACAATGATCACCGAACTCTATAAACAGTTCAAGATCCAGCATCATAATTCTTCCCCTTACCGGTCGAAGATGAATGGGGATGTGGAGGCTGCTAATAAGAACATCAAAAAGATCGTACGGAAGATGATGGTAACATACAAAGACTGGCATGAGATGTTACCATTTTCTCTCCATGGGTACCGCACCTCCGCACGAACATCGACAGGGGCAACACCCTATTCTATAGTATATGGCATGGAGGTTGTCCTGCCTATCGATGTACAGATCCCTTCTCTGAGAATCATGAAGGATGCACGTCTGAGTAAAGACGATTAGATCCAGACTCGACTTGATTAACTGAATCTGATCAATGAAAAGAGGCTTACTACTGTCTGTCATGGTCAAATGTATCAAAAATGGATGATAAAGGCTTTCAACAAAAAGGTCAGACGCCAAGTATATCAAGTCGGGGATCTAGTGGTCAAGCACATCATATTGTCGCAAGGTGATCCCAGGAGCAAATGGACTCCCACATAGGAAGGGCCATTTGTGGTCAAAAGTATATTTTCTTGTGGAGCCATGATTCTAACCACCATGGATGGTGACGACCTTCTTCACCCTATCAATGCAGACATAGTGAAAAGATACTACGCATAAATAAGACCCGCTAGGTTGAATGGCCTAGGCAAAAATAAGGGCTTCCCGGTGAACCAAAAGGGTTCGGGCAAAAATTAGGGATGAAAACAAAAAAAACTGTACACCCGGCAAGTCGAAAACCTGAAAAGGCGGCTTGGGCAAAAAAGGGTATCCCGGTGGACTGAAAACCCGAAAGGGAAGTCCAGGAAAAAGTTAGGGATTTAAAGCATGCCACTATGTCCCATTGGATCACCTTGCAACCAGACTTCAATATCAATTATCAAGTTCAAATGGCACTAATCAATCTAGTTAGCTTCGGACAAGCAGCAAAGTGATGAGACGCTCGAAGACATAGTGGCAATAGTAGAATTGAAACTCAATGTGATTATTACACATAGCTGTTTTCTTCTCTGTGTACACAATATTGTATAGCTTTCATTTTCATGGTGGTGTTCTCTTACTAGAGTGTCAGCTTCCTTGTACAAAAACGCCTGTTATAGGCCAACTTCAGAAATTAATACAAGTTATTTTTACAAAACCATTTGTTTTTCTTTTTCTGTTTTGTTTTGCAAAAACGTCCAATGATTTATTCTTGACATATGCATTTGAATATAATTTATATTCACAAATATTCGCATAAGAAACCATGTCAATCTCGACAGTTACTCCTTCCAGCAGGTACAGGGGCAGGGACAGCTTTGAAACTAAGTCACCATTACATGCGACCACATGACATCTACACTCCCCACATAGTAGAGGAAACCAAAGCTTTGACATCGGTTTCCCCAAATAGGAGTTACTTTCCCCAGCAAAGTTCCTTCAGAGAGTCGACGTCTATATTCCCCAACGAATTTTATAATCGCAAGCGGTTCATAAAGTTTTCTCCCGAGCAGAGTTTATTTCTATGATTACAGAAGCTCAATCCCCAACAGAGTTTATTCCTCTAGCTACGGAAGTTCATCCCCCAGTGGAGTTTATTTATCCAAATCGGAAAAATCTTCCAGTAAAGCATCTCCTCTCTCAAACAGAGTTATTTCCCCTAGAGTTATTCTCAAGAAGAGTCTCTCCCCAAAAGAATATTCACAAACAGAAAGGAGTAAATCCACAGCATAGTCATCTCCGTTAACCATCCCCAGTGGAAGTAGAAGAACCACTTTTTCTACAACGGTCAGGAATTCAATTTCCAGTACTCTCTAGCAGCAGTCAGGGATTTATTTTCCCAGACTCGGATAT